TTATTATTATTATTATATTATCTTTAGCTATATTTAGTAGAAGTATTGTTAGCCAAAAAGGGAAACTTGTTAAAGCATGCTTAACACTTAATACTTGATGCTTAATGCTTAATGCTTAATACTTAATGCTTAACACTTAATGCTTGATGCTTAGCTATAGTAAATTAACAAGTATTGATACTTTACTCAACAGATATATAAACCTCATTTTTGCTCCAAGTCAAGTAAGAAGTTCACATATTAGAAATCTCTAATAACTTAGACAAGTTACTCCCTTTCCTCTTTCCCTTACAAATAGTTATCTTTGAAAAGGATTCTTTAGGTACAAAAACCTAATGGATAGCTTTATCTCTTATTATTAATAAAGTTATAATTATCTATAAATCTTGCCTCTATACTGAACTGCCTTAAAGAAGAGTGTAGTTTCTTAACAGACTTAAGGAATTGCACTTATCTCTTGAACACTACTATAAACTAGTAAAGGATCCCTGTAGCTATGTTGTTGTTATAGTAGCGAGTTTAAGAAGGTCTCTCTACTGTAACAATATAATAAATTTGATTTTTATAATTATTATACTTTTTTATAATCATACTATTTTGTATTCCAAATATGTGATTATAGAGAGATTAAATTGTATTTGAGTAATTATATATTTTTAAATTTAGACTAATTTTATATATAATGTAATAGTATTTTGGTTTTGATTCAAAAATAATGATCTATTTTATATAATAAATATTTTTTGTCACTTCCAAGTGCCAAATTTTAAAACTATACTTAATAGCACAGATATTTGCTTGTTTTTTATAAAATATATACTGTAGTATATCTAAAAATAAATAATATATAGGGTGTAGTGACTTAGTGAAGTAGTGAAGTTGTCACACTCTAGACGGCAGGTCTAGAGTTTGAATCCCATAGATGACGTATTTGAAAAATAGCCCTGTAATATGGTTAATAGCTATCACTATCGGTTAGATCCTAATCTGTAACCTTGGCTACACTATCTTGAATGAGAGCTTTGGTGCAATAAATCCAAGAAACCAGAATAACTGAAAACCTGTTTGGCAAGTCCCGAGTTGGGAAGTAGCAGTAATCTTTGACAGTACTACAGAAAGACTGAATTTGGAACCGGAGACCAAGATCAGAGAACTGAGAGACCAGGTTCTTAAGTGGGAGGACACATTAGTCAAACTGCTAGCCTGCTACTGAAAGAAAAAAACTTGTGCTCTGGAAGCATGTACCAAGAGAAGGGAGACTATAAAACACCTAGAGCCTGAGCAAACCAACCTTTCTGGGTTGCTAGCTAGAAGAAAGGGAGAGATCGGTAAGAAATCTGAGAAAGAAGATAGTTGAAATATGGGTACTGAGACTGTTGTGAATCTTGCAAAGGCAGGAGTATATAAGTAAAAACTAATTAGAAAGGTTGTAGCTTAAGATACGGATCAGATTATAGCAATATCTGAAAAGATAGCTTGAGATACGAACCCGGTAGTGGCAGCACAACATGTACTAATTGGGAAAAAATTACCGAATATGCATGTGAGTATATGTGTGAGACATGTACTGCTTTGTTAGATTTATTACAAGGATAAATGCCCCAATATAGTTTGGCTAAAGTCTTAGGGTTATTCATAGCAATAGCTAATCTTATATGAGTATTAAGGTAGGGTGTGTTATAAAAGTGGTAGCCAGAGATTTAAATGGGTAACTTCCTAGTTGGATTATAGATATGGTAGCTAGTATGGAATCTAGGGCAGACTACTTAAATAAGTAACCAAAAATTGCATGTATAGCTAGTTGTACTTTTGTTAGAAATAACCAGAAAGCTTAAATAGATAATTTTCTAGTTAGATTGCAGGTATGGCGGCTAGTGTAGTACTCAGGTGGACTACTTAAATTAGGTACCTAAAAGATGCACGTGTGGCTAGTTGTATCTTCGTAAAATGAATATAATATCATAATTACCTGAATAAAGCTCATGCCAATAGCCTAAGTGATCACCTTAATATATAAAAAAAAAATAAAAAAAAATAAATAATATATTGTAACTTAGTTTATATTATACAGTATATATATATATATATATATATAGTATATATATATATAATAATAATTCTATACAATATCATACAACCTCTTTCTGACAATTCTTTGTACCAAAATACAACAAACTTTTTTTTTTGAAAAAACAGTAGACTGTGATAAAAAAGAAAAGTATAAGACTGATAAAAACCATAAATCAGCACTTGTTATTTTGAGATAGTTCTCATACGCTACCTGCTAACAGGCTCAGAGCTTATTACTTACCATAGAGATAGTATTTATTATTTAGAAGTAGTTCTCATATGCTACTTGCTAACAAGTTTAGGGTTTATCACCTACTGACAAAAAAATCAGCAGTAAACTTGGCTCTTTACATTCTACTACTTTTAGAAAAAAATATATACTCCTTTAAAAAAAGTACAAGAGCTATCTTCTACACTATCACCCACTTGCTTATTTTTCAAAATTTTTGAAAAAAGTGAGCAAAACAGTTTACCCCCATCAAAAAGATTGTCATTGTTTACCTCTTCCAAATTCAGATAACCTAGTAGATTGCAACCATGTGTTTTGTTTACAAACAGATACAGTGCTACTTCACGGGTCTAGGCTTTTAGTTAAAAGAATATCCGAAGATGTCATAATCAAAAAGAAATTTATACATTAAGGTGAAGCTTTATAGTAAAGATATACAGATGTTGCATTTGTTATATAATTTTTTAAAGCCTTGTATAGATTATAATAGTGTAAAAGACACTTTTCTTCTTTTTTTATCTTTTTTTTTAGGTCTTTTCTTTTTGCTAGTCAGATTGCCTAGCTTTTTTTTTGCTTTTTTTATCTTGTCTTTTAAATATTAAGTTTATTGTTTAGGTTATATAGTTTTTTCTTACTTACTATTTCCTTTTGTTATTCAACTTCCCTTTTTCTCCTTTTATATATGTTCTGTTTTTTTTTATTTTCTTTGGTAGGTATAAATAGCTATACTATCAAGATTTAGATAAGAAAAGTCTTAAAGAAAGGCTTAGGCTTTCTGACAAAGCCTCTAGTTTCGTATATTTTTTACAGACTAGTGTAGCAAATCGCACGTGATAATGTTTCTTGTTAAACATATCGAGTGATGTCAAACTTAGAGATTAAGGAATTAATATTGTAACTTTATTATAATAAAAACTTAATAAAAGCTCTTGGTGAAACTGCCTAAGTTTAAAAAAAAATAATAATAATAATAATAATAATAATTCTATATTTGGGGGTGTCAGTAAAAACCAGGCAAATTGTTTCTAAATAATTTTTTTTTAAACTTTAAATTAAAATATCTCAACAATATTAAACCAAACTTGATAAAAATTTTTTTATTTTAATTCTTTTTAGTTATAAAATTAAAATAAAAAAATCTGTCAAATTTAGTTTAATAGTTGTTGAGATATTTTAATTTAAAGTTTTAAAAAAAACTTCTAAAAACAATTTGCCTGGTTTCTACTAACACCTCCCCATTTATTAAAATCAAATCAAAAATGTGTTATAGTAAAGTTTATAAGATTTAAAAAAAATTAATCATTACCCAAAAAATTTCAAAAATAGTCATTCTCATCTATAATCACGCGGTTTGTTTTATGTAAAAAAGATGTAATTATAAAATTTTAATAGTAATATAATTATATAAAGTTTTCTTTAATAAATATATTGGCAATAATTTTTCAAAAAATGTGTGTGATTATATAGGAGGTGATTGTAAAGAAGAACGACTGTATATTCATTATAATCTATATATATAGTTTTGATTTACATAGTGTATCGACACCTTGAATCAAGATCTTGGAAATTACAAAGAATCTTGTAAAAAAAGACAAAATAATTGCCATATTTGGAGGAGCTGCACATTACCAGGTGACATATTCTTTATATTGTTCGATTCGTTGAAACCCTGGCAACTTGTCGATTTGTGTAATTTTAATAAATAATCTGGTACGTGTTAAATACATAATATGAACCTTCTTTTATTGGTTAAATTTTTTGTACGTAAGGGAGGGTAGGGTATTATGACACACTTAAGAGTTGCTTATATAAAAATTTTTAGGAATAGCACAAAATTTATTGAAATAGATTTAACTATCTGCCAATAAAAAAAAAACGACTTTAAAAAAAAATTGAAATGAGCTTTCAAGAAATGTTATTCTTTTTTACATTTGGGGGGGTATTATGGCGCACTATGTTCAATATGTGTTTCGTATTGTATTATTGCATCCTTCCTCCGGACATTACCCAATGAGAAAATATATTATAAAAATTCAAAGAAACTTAATGCTATCATAAGTAATGTCGACTTTTACTTATATCTTGTGATTTAGCAAATAGAACCAAAAAAAAATTTATATTATTTGATTCGTCTCAGTAAAACGAATCGAACGATACCAATGTATCGCGAGATATCGTCAAAAAACATGGGTGCGTCACAATACCCACCTGCGTCATAATACCCTACCCTTTCCTGAAACAAACTTGGAATCTAAATATATAAACTATAGATTTATCCATATTGTACTACTATATATTTTTAGCCAATAAAAATAAGCTGTTGAAACATATTCTATACAAATGTCCCCATAGCGGGTTATACACAGCCACGATGGCCGATTACAAATTTTTTGATCCTCTTTCTTTAATTCTAGAACAATATGAGGACTTAAATGAAGAAAACGAAGTAAGCTATGATAGTCCAGGTAAGATCTATTTTAATTTAGATTTTTAAATAATAGAAAGTTTTTAAAATAGCATCGTATTTGCATGTTGAATGAATAGATCATTCAAGTCAGCCTTCAACTTCACAAAATAAGACTACCCCACTATCAGAAATAGGTATCAGCAGTGTTTTCTTTTTATACCAAATAGTTTGCAGGTTTTAAATATAAGGTTTGTTTAATGATCTCAATTTTGCAATTAGACAGAACCATTTGTCAAGCTTGCAATATTAACAAGTGGAAATATAAGTGTCCAAAATGTGAATTTCACTCATGCTCTTTACCATGTTCAAAATTACATAAAGAAACATATAATTGCGATGGCGTAAGATCAAAAACCAGTTATATAGCACTAGATGAATACGGATATAAAGAATTGATGAGTGGTGCGTATTTATTTTGTACAGTAACTATAGTTTAGAACCGGTTTTTCATTATATGAAAAAATAAATCAGGTTCCTATCTTCAAAGGTCTTTTGAATGTGATCTATATTTTATAATAATTTTTTAGATTATGTCTTTCTCGAAGATACATCACGTGCAGTGGATTTAGCGCATCGTACAAGAATTGATCAAAGACATAAATTTCGACGAAAGTACAATAATAACTCAAAAAACCGACAAACTTAGCATGATAATGCACGATTTTTACAATAAACGTATATATTATTATTCAAATTTAATAAGGAGACCGACGAAACACGTATTTATTTTAGTGCATGCAACACTTTATTTAGCTTTCTATGAATAAATTTTCGTGTATTACTCTTGCTATGAATACGTAATAGTCGTACAATATGATGTTACACGTGACAAGATTTACAAACATAAATCAAACTTGCCTATTCAACGATAATCGAAAAATGAATTTTTTATCAGGAACAGAAGATGCTATTTCCTTGGAAAGATTGCGTGAAACGCTAATTCGATTAGAAGATACTATAATTTTTGGTTCGCTTTTTTCATTAAAACACGAAGCTCCAACTTTTTTTTTAAATTGAATTAATTTTTTCCTTGCGAAACCAATAGCTCTTATAGAGCGAGCTCAATTCAGCTACAATAAACCTGTTTACGAGCCCGGCTTTTATAAATATAAGGACTGCGAAGATTTTGAAGGAAGCTTCTTAGAATACTTTTTGCGAGAGTCAGAAAAGGTACATGGTAAGTAAGAAAAGACAAGCGAATAATTATTATTATTGAATGATTTACATTAGCTTCAATAGCAAAAGTAAGAAGATATCAAAGGTGAACATACAAAATTTTAGAACTATAATTTTTATCTTGCTAGTAAATTAATTGATATAAATTTATAAAGTCCCGATGAATATCCTTTTACTACTGGACCTCTTCCCGATCCAATAATTCCCCCTCTTGAATACCCGCAAATTCTTAAGCCAAATAACATTAATATTAACGCAAAAATAATGGAATTTTATGTTGAGAAAATTGTCCCTTCGTTATGTGCCATGGATGATGATCAGAATTATGGTTCTGCTGCAACTCGAGATGTTGTATGCCTTCAAGCCTTATCTCAGAGAATTCATTATGGTAGTATTATATTTCAATTGTTTATTATTTCTTGTAACAAAATCTCATCTCTTAAAAAAAAAAAAAAAAAAAAAAGGAAAGTTTGTTGCCGAAGCAAAATTCCGGGATCCAGAACTTCAACCAAAGTACATCGAATACATAAAGTCTCGTGATTCAAAAGCTATTGAAGAGTTATTAACAAATAAAAAAGTAGAAGAAGCTTTGTTAAAACGCCTTAAGCGTAAAGCCCTCATTTATGGTCAAGATATAACTGAGGCTGGCGATTTTAAATTAGATGCTGAGCATCCATCAAAATATTTAAAGATCAATGTAGACTTAGTTGTTGAATTGTACGAAAAATGGGTAATTCCCCTGACAAAAGAAGTTGAAGTTAGTTATCTTTTAGAACGTCTTGATAACAACTAAAAACAAATAATTTATAGACTCATTTTTTTAATAATAAAATAAAAGGTCTTGATAATTTATAATTTGTTGATTGGTCCATAAATATGCATATGTAAAAATTTTGCCTGATGCTTATATTAGGTAGTTCAAATTGCGTGACTCGTGACATTTTCGAGTCATTTTCGTGTTTCTTTTGTGTCACATCATATGTTGAATAGATTTTGTGCCGTTTGTTAGTTAACATTAAAAAACTCGGCTGATTTATTTGGAGCGTTCTTTTAACATTACTTTAGTAGGTGCAACTTATCAACATAGTTTCTATTACGATCAATATCCAAATAACGTGTCTAACCCTTGAATGGTTAGAAATGGATACTTCAACGCCAAGCACACCTTCAGGCCCCCAAAGCGAAACAAACACCACAAACGAAAATTTAAGTAACGCGAAGACTCCTCCTTCAACTGTTCCTATTGCATCTCCATCATTATTAGGCACACCTTCTACACCAACTCCTGCAACACCAGAATCTACAGCATCTCTCCCAAGACCAAGCATAGGTCCAATTTATTCCGCGGTTTATTCCGGAGTACCAGTATACGAATTTCTTGTACGAGACGTAGCAGTGATGCGCCGGCGTCCGGATTCTTACTTGAACGCCACGCAAATTTTGAAGGTTGCTGGTCTTGAAAAAGGTAAACGTACAAAAATTATCGAAAAAGAAGTTTTAACTGGTGATCACGAAAAAGTTCAAGGCGGTTATGGGAAATATCAGGGTACTTGGTAAGCAACATATACAATATAATAAATGTATAGTAAATATTTATTGTAAAAATTTTTGACAAAAAATTGACTTGCATGGCAAGTTGAACAAGCGATTCAACGTTATTTATGCGTGTGACAATTAATTAACACGATAACATATAAAATATTGTTTCGTGTACACTGAACTTTTTATCTTGAATTATTCATCTCATCATCAATTATATTATACCATCTTTAGGGTTCCATATGAAAGGGGAAAGGAACTTGCTGAGCAATATGGGGTTCTTGAAATTTTGCGTCCTTTGTTAGAATATAAACCACCTAAACATGATATACCTTATTCATCATCTCCATATACTCCAACTAAAGAACAGGCGATGGCTGCTTTACGTAGGCAAGCTGCGAAGGCTACTACCACTATTCAATCGAATGCTCAATCCGATACTCAAGCCAACGGCGACTCTTCTTTACTATCTAATAATGAAAACGAAGCAGAGACTGTTACGATGACAAACTTTGAGGCTTCTGAACCACCTCTAACGGCTGCGGAAATGGACGAAGGGGAACGTCACAGAAATGTTTTAATGGCAATATTCCTTAATGAAGATCCAAATCAAATACCCGATCTTCTTTCAAACCCATCTTCTCCGGATGATATTGATTATGATGTTATCATTGACAATCATGGTCATACTGCTCTTCATTGGGCGGCTGCTTTAGCTCGACTACAAGTTATGGAACTATTGTTGACAAGGGGTGCTAATGTACGTCAATTGAATTATGAAGGCGAATCTGCTTTAGTACGCGCCGTTCTTGTCACCAATAATTACGAAGCACAAAATTTTCCTGCCGTTCTTGATCTTCTTCATGAAACCATCCCGTTGACCGATAAAGATAATAGAACTGTTTTCCATCATATTTCAATGACTTCTGGCACTAAAGGTCATGCCGCAGCAGCAAAATATTATATGGATTGTCTGCAACAATGGATCGCCCAGAATGTTGATGGAAATCTTTCTACGATTTTAAATATTCAAGATAAAAATGGTGACACGGCTTTAAATATTGCTGCGAGAGTAGGAAATACTCAGCTAGTTCGTCAGCTAATAGAAATGGGTGCTAGCAAGCAAATTGAAAATAAAATAGGGTTAAAAGCAATAGATTTTGATCCTGCTGAACGTATTGATATTGACGATATTAATGTGAGTTTACAGATTATTTATTCTCCTCTATATTACATAAAGGAAGATAATAAATATATTTTTATTAATCCTGGATAGGATGTGAGACTGGAGCAAATGGATTTTTTTACTCAGCCAATTACTTCAACATTTGTTAATCCCCGTAGAAAATCCAGAGAAATTGTTTCAAGTAATTATAACCTTTTTTTTTTTTCCTGATTGATTAACAATGAGTTTACTAATATATATTTTATCATTCAACATATGAATTAAGGTCTTCAAAAATTGGTTGAAGATGCTGAAACTGAATGGATTGAACAGCTTAGATTAAAAGATGAACAATTAGTTGACTTGCAACGTCAGTGCAATGCAACTTCAAGGCAACTCATCGAAGCTAGACGAATATTGCATTGTTGTCGTCTGCAAGACAAGGAATTCGATGAAACAGAAGAGTACATTAAGTTTCTGGAAAAAGTATTGATCACTGAAGATCAAGATGATTATATCGTTCCGCGTAAACGTCAAAAAATTGAGCATTCAAATGGAACGGCTACCGGCTTAGACGTTCTTTCAGTTATCTCTACTACCACTCCAATGCCAAAGGCAGACGTTTCTGTACCAGAAATTGAAGTATCTTTTCCACAGAATGTGCCATCACCACCATCTTCTACGATGAATGCACAACCAATTGTGTCAAATATCGGCGCGACACCTGTCCGAATACAACAAGCTTTTCCAATAGCAAATCCTACGGCCTCTGTAAACACTGGAGCAGTACCACCATCAACTATTCCAATTAAGGATTCAATATCAACGTCACAAGAAATTAATGAGTCAACAAACATAAATGCTATCTCATCACAATCAAGTTCTCCTTTTGCAATAGATGCCTCTTCCACAGTACATCCAATAACATTTCCATCATCGACGAGAGTAGTACCAACTGCATTCTCTTCATCCATGGTTGTTCCAACAGCTTTTACATCATCAACGAGAACAGTTTCACCTTCTGTGACATCATACAGTTCTTCAACAACTAAACCTCCAACAATAACGATTACACCTCCTTCAAATACTGCGTCTTCTCAAACAACTAAGCCATTGTTCCCAGTTTCTCCGGTTTCATTTACTTCTTGTGTTTCTCCTATAAAACCTTTAATTGACCCGAAAACGGAAAATGAAATTAGAAATCTTCAAGCACAGATAAATGCATATTCAAAAGATGAGGAATTACTTCGACAAGAAATTAACGAATTGAGAGGAAAATCGGTGAATGCTAAAATGCAATACAAGAAAATCATTGCCTCATGCTGTAAAATTGAGCTAGACAAGGTTGATGATTGCGTTGAAGCGATTTTACATGCAATGGAAAGTGATAGTGCTGATTTTAATCTTTCTAGGATCAAGGATTTGATGAGCCGAGTACGCTGTGAAGAAGTGGAAGACACGGTCGACACTCTTTATACCGAACCTCTATATACCGAACCTTGCCTATAACGAACTAAAAGGTTCGAACAAATAGCTTACATTATTTACATCGAATAAACCGACATTATGTAATAAAATTGCTATAATGCATCCAAACCTAATTGGGTCAGTACATATAACCCATCATATAAATTCACAAACATTTTTTTTAGAATCTATTTATATAAGCTTAATGTCACGTACTACATGGACTTATTAATAAATAAAAAAAAAGTTGGCATAAAAATGTCCACTGACCAAGTTTCAAAATGTGTAACATTAAGGTTATATAAAATTTAAAGAGTAGGATCTTTAATGAATCCCATGAGCATTTTTATTAGGTGCGGGCGATTTTGAATAAAATGCTTTGCTTTTTTTTATCACACATAATTCAACTAATTTATACTTTATATAATTGTTTTTTTAAATTAATATTTATAAAAAATACAAATTTGATTAATTTTTTTATAATTTATTTTTATAATAAATTCTCTAGATATAGCAAACTAAAAATTTTATATTTTATTTTATATATATATACTGTATATATATATATATATATAGTTTGATACTTATACGCATTTTATAAATTTATATTAGTTTACTAGATGGTTTATCACGTGATATAAAACGTTTTCCGTTTTACTGTTACACGAAAATCGTGTTATTTGATCGGCCAATAGTGCTTTTCCCACGAAAAATAATATCCAAATTTTTGCGGATCCCTGACATGCTTATCAAAATCATTACCGTATTATGAATTACCTAATACCATATAATCACTTCTTGAACTCTTCAAATACATCAATATGTAGTCATTTTTTACACCTCTAGCTTGGTTTATTTATTTTACAATATCTCCAGTGCAGTGTTGAAAATTTGTTGTGCATGTATTGTTATTTGTACAAAATTAACAATGGGATATGCAAATTGCACAAAAAATAGAATAACATTCATGTGTAAAAAAATTTTTTTACACAGCATGTTTGTGCCAAATTTTCAACACTGCTTCAGAATAGGGTATTTGTTTACTATTTTTTTTTTTTTTAAGCGATCCTGCCTTTATTCATGTGAACTGCTATAAAATTTATATACAATGTACTAAATTTTTACAACTTAT